ACACTAGAGGGCGCTCCTGGGAAACTCCAAAATGAATGGGCACCCAAACTTAATACACTACTGTATTAAAGGTGGGATGAGTGTCTTTTCTATGTACTTAGATGAGTCATTTATTTCTTCATATTTTGTCATGTGATGTTTTGTGTTTGCTTCTTTGTCGCTGTTGTTCTTTCTCAGCTCTGCTTATTTGTTGGTCTTTTCTGAATGTGAGTTTTTATACACCAACCAGCCACTTCATTAAGTATCAGCTCCAGTTCCCATATAGGAGCACTTTGTAGTTCTACAACTACAGTCTGTAGTCCATCTGTTTCTCTGCTTACTTTATGGCCCCTGTTTTATCCTGTTGTTCAACAGTCAGGTCCCCCAAGGACCACCACAGCGCAGGTATTATTTGGATGGTGGATCATTCTCAGCACTGTAGTGACACTGAAGTGGTGTGTTAGTGTGTGTGTTGCGCTGGTATGAGTGGATCAGACACAACAGTGCTGCTGGAGTTTTTGCCCACAGGACGCTGTGGGCTGGACAGTTTCGGTTGGTGGACTATTCTCAGTCCAGAAGTGACACTGATGAGTTTAAACTCCAGCAGCACTGCTGTGTCTGATCCACTCCTACAATGTATGAGAGATATTACGCTATTTGATTTCTCAGCGTGAAGAAAAAGAAAACGCCCCAAAGCAGAGAGAAGGAGAGACTCACATTTACTGCTTCATTATGAAGTAGTTAGTTAGTGGACAGGTTTAGGTTTTTAAGTCTGCTGTGTTATTTTTCCTTTTCTTTGTGCGTCTCAGCGTCTGATGTTTTGTCGTTTACCGTTGTGTCTGTGGTGAGCAGGTGCTTTATAGTGAAGGTGCTGCAGTGTTTGTTGTGTTTATGTGAATTTAGTGCTCTATTGTTTTGTATCAGGACAGAAGTGCTGGAATACGTGATCAGCACTGCTGTTAGGAGTAGCCTATAGCAATGGTCATGGGCTTTGCTAGGCTCGTTTTAGGGTTTAGCTAAATGTTATTCCCCCTTCCCAAATAAATCTACTATTAAACTAAATCTACTAGATCAAATCACCTATAATGTATTCTCATTCATTCTGTGCCAGCGCGTCTCCAAAATCACAATATACTGTGATAGCAGGGCGTGACCTGGGGGAGGCGCTACCTCTGCTGTGCTACCAGACAGAGCTACATGACAGAGCTCTACCAGAGAACTTGTAGAGAGGAGAATTACCACTCTGTAAGGTCTTCTGGGTTTCTTAAACGCTAGAGGGCGCTCCCGAGCAAATCCAAAATGAACAAGTTCAGATGGAGCAATTGAGTTTTTAAATGCTTAAACATTTTAAATGTAAAAGAAAGTAATCATTTCCTGAAAAGCATAAAACATTTAACCATTGCTGTTATATTTTAAGAGCTTTTAAACTCGAGCTATAGCAGTTTAAAGCTCCACCTCATATACGTCCATGACGTACAGTATGTGAGCACGAACAGCCACAACAATGAGCTGCTCTCGCCAACCAATCAGCACTCAGCAGCAGTAATTTTAGCAGTAATAAGTTGTAAGCCAATCATATCAGGCCTGGAGCAGATCTCTGGTTTTACTCGCTCTCTCTTTAGCGACCGCTAAAGCTGTGACAGGATGTGGACTAAAAACTCACTATAAAATATATATACCATGTAGTTATAGAGTGAATATACCCAACTACAGTATGGATTTGTGGCAGATTACAGTCAGTATAGCTGGTATCGGGTTTTTACTGGATAACTTTGGGTTTGAAGCAAAGAAAAGCGGTTAGGCTAAAACAAACATTAGCTAGAGTTAGCTAGCTGACAAGCCGTCTAGTTTAACTTCATTTTTAGTGGGAATGTGAGAGAAACAGAGATTGAAATAATGTCATTAACAGCGCTTTATATTCTTTGCTTTTATAGTTCTGACACCAGTATTTACCATATATTGTCATTTACAGTAAGTTAATCTCAGTTAAAAGTTCATACAGTGTTGATCATAATGCAGTTTTATATCCCTCTGTTTGTGAGAAGGGTCTCCTCAACCAGTCGGCCTCAGGCCAGTCAGATAAGAAGATTTTTATGAGTTAAAACTCACACAAAAAACAATAAAACTAAAAATAATAATAATAATTCAGTTAGGAAAGCAGCGATTCACGCTCCTGTTTGTGTGGTGTTTATGTGTAGATCTGGCTGTGTGGCTGGTGAAGCTCAGAGAACCTGTTGATGTGATTGTTCTTCATCTAGTTTTATATTCAGCTGATTTCATTTGATACATTTCATTCAGTGGGTCTTAATATGGACGTTAGTTCCGTGTTTACAGTGATGCTTAAAGCTTTGTAGCGAGGTAAATTATAGCATTATTTAATCCGTGTAGATATTCATAACAGTTTATGAACACATTAAGCTGAAGTTAGCTTCATATTTGCCCCTTCTTGTTTGAATTTTCCCGTTCCACCTTAAATGGTGCAGCTTCGGGCACCAGAGAGTGATATGAAGCCAAACTCCAGCCTAATCCCTTTTACTGTGTTTTGGGGGGTTGTTTTATTTGTATGTGTATTAATTTTAACAGTGATTCACACATTGAGGATTCGCTGATGGTGAGATTATGTTTGTAGCGGATCTCGCGATAAACTCGTTGTCATCGTCAGGCTGAGTCTCTTCCCGCTGGTCCGGGCGGCTAATTAGCCCGATCAGTTATTACAGCATTAAAAGCTACCGAGAGCGGCTCCGTGCAGCCCGGATTAACCGCTGTCTGAGGATTATACCCAAGCGAGTGTGGTGAAATCGGCTGAGTCGTAAGGAAGTCGTGGCCGATTAAATCCTGAGACTCATCGCCTCTCAGTACCAGTGAATCTGGACACAACATGGCGGACGCGCAGACGCAGCGCCTCAGAGAAACAGACACCGCCGCATCTGTGTGTCTCTATGCCGGCACCTCCGGCACAACTTAAGGTGGAACGGGAAAATGTGAACGAGAAGCTGCTGAAGGACGAGCTGACTTTCGCCTCGTAAAGAGACGAACGCTGAGGGAGGAGAGAAAAGCAGCTTAGCTGAGCTCAAACTTAAAGCAGAGCGAAGTCAGTCTGTGTTTTCGGTTCTCTTATGTTTTTAGACTGTAGTAGGACTTTAACACACACTGAGACATATTTACAAAAGACCTCGCAGATCCAGCGATATTCGGGAGAAAAATGTGCACAGAACAAAACATTTCGGGTTCTGAACAGTTTTATTAACACCGGGTGCGACAGAGGCGATGTTTCTAAAACCCCATTCATTCTGGCCGCAGAGGAATCGAGCTCAGACCTGGAGCTCCTCTTATGGGCAGAACGCGGACTACAAGTGCCTGCTTATAGTTGCTAAGCAACGATGGATGGGGCGGGGTCTAATAGTCGATTGCGTCATAACTATCGCGTCACAATGCGCATAAACGTCATATAAAGACTTCGCTGTCCATCACTGGGTCATTACGCTTTTGGCGAGACGGTAAGTAGAAAAGCTCTGCTGCTTCAAATAATAGAAACTGTGAAAACTGTAATATTATATTCACAGTAATAAAACAGTGAATATTTGTAGGTTACACTGTATAAATATTTAGGTTTTAAATATTATTAGTCATTATAATTTAGCCAGTATATTAATATTAGCAGGTCAGTAAAGCGCTGTTGGACAGAATGTTCTCTGAGTGAATTTTGACTGTGGTCTACACTTTGTTAAACAGGAACTGCGAGCTGTGAATCTCTCTTTTGAGCACAACACTTGGTTTTTCTATCCATCAGGTATGTTTAATTCATTGTTTAATAAGCTTTATTCCTGACTGTAGCAGTCTGTGATTCTTGTTGGATTCAAATTGCTAACTTGTGTTAAAACCACTGTAACGCTCAGCTTCTCACGGCTTTTTTCTTTATTATGAAGAAGATATTTCTGGCTCTGAAATCTGATTAGATGATTGGCGTCTGACACCATAGTAGAATATTTGACGCATACGCACAAATGACCACACACCAATTGAATTTTGGTTTTAAAAGTCTTTTAGTCAGTTTTATGTAACAGTTTAATGTAATAATGTAATAAATCAATTCTATAAAAATGTAGTGAAGCTTTTCCTGTAAAATGGAGTTCCTGTGGTGAAGCCCTGTCCTCTGATGTCGTAGCTCTACTATAGAGAGCTTTGAACTGAAACTGCTGAGTGGTCATATTTCTACAAGTGCAGTGAAAGATCAGTATTTTAGCATTATTGAATCATGAAACCACTAATAGAGCGTTAAAGATACAGTACTATAGTTCTATAGTGTAGTATGTTATGTTATACTGTTATGATAATGTAACATGTTATATTATACTAAGCTGGCATTATCTTTGCTGACTCTCTCCTTCAATTTAGAATCATCTATAACTCTGTCCATCATTTCTATCTAAATGTTTTCATGTTTATTTTAATGCTTTATCACTTCCTGTAGGTGATGTTAAACCTGTGTAGTTGCGCCACATTAGAATATCAGAATAATTTTGTATGTATTTACTGGCTGAATTAAATTAAAGTGTCTTAATTGTATTTTTCTTCTTGAAAACATTGATGTCGTATTTAATGATTCCAACGTTTTGAACGTTTCAGCGTCAGAGTGTTTCAGACATGAAGGCGACGCTGCTGGTGCTGCTGTTGTCTGTCCTGGCCGTGATGGTTACCTGTGACCTTCAGCAGTCAGAGTGGGGAGCTGGTCCAGGCTGTCCTCTGGGCAAAAGGCTGGCGTTTGACCTCAACACCACGCTTGAGGAGAGCAAACGCCTAAATAACGAATACTTTGACTGCCCGAACCCAGAACCTGGCATGCCCTGCTTCTACTACAGTCACGGTAAGAATCCGCTCTCACTGCAGACTCTGCTGGGGAGGATTTCACCAAGGAGGATTTCTCCATAAGCTGCACAGCTTAAGCCCAAAGTTGAGCTTTATCCAGGAGGAGTGTCCCTTACCTCCCTTCCCTCTGGACAGCCCTCACTCTTGACCTCAATGATGTGGCTGACTGAGATATCCTGCTTTGTGAAATAACCTCTATCTGATGCTGCTTCACATCTCTCTCTCTCTCTCTCTCTCTCTCTCTCTCTCTCTCTCTCTCTATCTGATGCTGCTTCACACGCTCATCAGATTTCTGCTGCTTTGTAGCTGAAACCTGATTAATCAGTTAGCTAAGCTGATCTTTTAGTGTCTTCATAACGTTTTCCCACACTGTAAAACTAGTACATTAAACATCTCTCTCTCTCTCTCTCTCTCTCTCTCTCTCTCTCTCTCTCTCTCTGTAGTTTTCTACCCCTTCTTTGTTATTGAGGACACTGTGGTAGGAGAGTCTGTCAGTTTCCTTGACAGGTAAGCTCTACATTTCATCTCTCATTCTACTACCTTTGTGTGATATAAGGGAGTGAAATGCACTGTAAAGCATGTATTTTGGAACATTTGGTAATTTAACGAATAGTTTTTATTGTCCTTTTTCCACTGAGGTGTTTATAGTTTCTCTTGTCTCATTTGTGTTTTCACTGTATTTTTAAAGAAGATTCCTTCTGATGTTCATTGTGTGCATGTTTGTTTACTCAATAGCTACACTTTTAAAGTAGTCGGTGGGGGACGTACAAGAGAAAGCATACGTCATTACAGTCAAGAGGAGATCCTGAAGTTTAACAGCCTCAACGACAGGTATGTACATCAGATGGATTTAATGTGAAGCTTCAGATCACTGTGTTGCAGTTAAGAAGAAAGGAACATGTCTGTCTGTCTCTTCATATTGCTGTCTCCTTTTAAATCACTGCTTAAACTACTATCATGTGTTTTGGTAAAACTATGCGAATGTAAGACTAAATAAGTAAGTTATTAATGTAAAATATGGGTTTGTTATTGTGAAATAATGTTGCACTGAACAATAAAGAGTTAATATGTCTGTATTTAATATGAAGTTAATGGGTGTCCTCTCCTGTGTGTGTGTGTCAGTGAGAGCTCTCAGCAGACTCTTGTGTGGACGTATGAAGACATTCCGGACTCTTTCCCTCTGACTAAAGAGGGCTTCATAGTCATGAGCGGCGCCTCCAACAGGGTCAGGTGTGTATAGTGTGTGTGAGTGAGAGAAGGAGAAGAAGAAGTGCCTCACAGTGTTTTCAGCTTTGTGTGTGAAAACTCCCTCTGCTGTTTTTATTAGAGACTAACCTAATGCCTGTGTGTGTGTGTGTGTGTGTGTGTGTGTGTGTGTAGATGGCTGTGTCAGAGGAACTCTCCCTGTGGTGATCTGACACCTAGAAATCTGCTGGATCCGGATTTTTTCTTCATTATTGAGGTCTCCAACAAGTAAGTCCACTTATTTGGGATTTGAACTTTACTGTTTTCTCCTTTAGGAATAAATGAAGACCAACATTGTTTCCTGCTTAAATTTAGAAACAAGTCCTTACACAGCCTGTCTGAGTAATGTAGTTCTCCCTGTAGAGCTCCTATAGGACCTGGAGAGGGTCATTAGCATCAGAGCCTGTTCATTTCAGGGAGATTTGCTCAGTGGTCATTGTACACCTGGAAGTGTGCATGTCCAGTAAGCGGCTGACTGGAGTCACCAACTCTGAATATGACCCTGTGTTTCTAATGTGGTCAGTCATGTGAAGTTTATCATTCATGTTATTGACCCTAATTTCATTTCAAAGTCTAAATCGAGGAAAAATGAGACGCCTGTTTATTAGTCAAACTGTCTTGCGCTCATCTGTCTGAACAGCATGTACGTCCATAGATAAGTCTGAGACCTGAAATTAATATTCACGGTTTTGGTAATAAATCTTCACCACCAACGCTAAACCCAACTATACAGTCCAGAGAGGAGTCACGTGTGGAGAACAATGATTTCGTAATTCATCATGGCACCATCTTTATCTGGGTGGTCATGACAGCAGCCAAGCTTCTGCTTCACTCCAACATCACAGGCGTAAGATCTGACTGTAGTGCGCCCACTTGTGGTGACGAGGAGCAAGTATTCAATTTATACATTGGTGTTTGTTTGTGTGTGTGTGTGTGTGTGTGTGTGTGTGTGTGTGTGTGTGTGTCTAGGGAAACTGCTAGCAGCACATTCTGTGAACACACTGTACGTTTTGAGCTGCATGTTCATGGGTTTCCTCTGGATCCAGTGAGGGGGCTGTTCTTCATGCAGGTGAGGGATATTCAGAGCTACACCTACAAACATTCTACACTATATAAAGGATTATGCCTGCATTTCAGTGCTTTACTAATTTGTGGCAATGCTATTTCTGTTTTCAGTAAGACAGATCTATAAGTTCAGGATCAATGTTAACACAATCAGTAACAGTTATTGAAAGTCTCACAGACAAAACTCTCTAAGACTGTCTCTGTATTTCCAGATGACCATGATAGCCATTCAGAGCATCCTGGTATGTTATGTCGTTCATACCTGCTGCAAGCTGAGACGAAAGACCAAGTACACCAAGGAGGCTGGTGATCTGATGGTGAAGGTTGGGTGGACGCTGCATTCCTGCTTTCTGCAGCTGTACCGCATCATCTTCCGCATCGTCCAGAACCCCATGTTAGATCATTTTATCATGGTGGTGGTGCTGCTCGATATGGGCACGCTGATGGCCCAGACCTTCCAGGGCGTCACTGTCAGGACAGGTACGGTCATATCCTTTCCAGCACTCATTGTCACTCTGTCCACTCACATTGTGTCTAAAATCTTAGAATCATGGCTGGTTACTTTAGAGATCAGAGCGTGGATCAGTGACATACATGCACACATACGCAACATAACTTAATGCTGATACACACACATGCTTATATGCATAATCCTGATTGAGTCCAACTCCAAGACTCCATTATGACTTGGAACTCCTCTCAGGACTAATGATAAAGTAACCCCTGCCTTATTACACTGAGAGTAAATGAGGTTGTTCCTTGTTGTTTTATGTTGTTGTACTAGGTTGGTGTCTCTCAGCAGTGGACAGCTGTTTGCTGGTCTTCTATGTCATGGAGGCTGCGTTTAAGATCCTGGTGTGGGGACGTACATACTTCAGGAACCCCTGGAATGATTTGGGTGAGTTGACTAACCTCTGATGACAGTAGTCAACATGGTCTTATGATGGCAGCCTCTTCCTGCAATGCCAGAACGTGTTTAGTAGCTCTTTTTCTTGTTTCTTTCAGATTTCTTTATTGTGCTGCTGAGTTTGGTGGACTTTACGCTGTCACTGGTGCAGGCTGCAGGAGGCCTTAGCAGTAGACAGGCCTCCACTCTCTTCCGGGTGCTCAAGACTGTGAAAGGAGCCCGAGTATTCAGAGCTTTGCGTTTGCTCAAAGCCATCCGGTAAGGAAATCTCCACACCTCTTGCACTGATGTGAAATGATCTTGCTGAGACTTAAAGGAACTGTAGCAAGACTCTATGGGGCCAAACAGACTATCGTATGGGGCAACACTATAAAATCACAGGCCTGTTGTCTGCATGCTTGTAGCTAGGAATGGTATGGGCTGTTTTTCAAGCATTTGTTTTGGACTTCAAGGTTTGAAAGACATGCAGAAAAGCACAGCTGATTGGGCCAGTCCCAAAGAATCTCTGACCTCTTTTTGAATTTTTATGCAGTCAAAACAACAAAAGAAGAGAGGTGGAAACCCCACACCTGTAAAGAAGGACTGTGTGCTGTGTGAACATCACATGTAATGAATTTTTAAGCCAGTGAACATGAATATGGTGCTGCATCTGTACGGCTCTTATTGGCTTTCATGTTTGTAAAAGTAGACCAGTCTTATGGACCAGACTTACATGTGTCCATGTTTTCTTTAATGTATGATAATAACTCGGGGACACTCTCTGTTTTTTGCTAGCTTCTTCAAGGGTCTCCAGGCCATCCTATTAAGCTGCCTTCAGTCTTTCCGGTCCATGAGCTCCATCATCATCCTGATGTTCCTGTTCCTGTTTATTTTTTCTGTGGTATTCCGGGAGACGTTTAATGAGTCGGACCCGGAACACTTCGGAAACATATTCAGGACCGTCTTCACCCTCTTTCAAATCCTTACGCTGGATGACTGGTCCCTGATCTACATGACCAGCAGAGACAACGGTAAGGGCTCATCTCTTTTTGGGCATCAACATATCATGTGAAGAGCAAACTCATGAAAGTCATTGCTTTCATTGAAAGTTGTGAATTTAGCCAATTTGAGCAAAATCTTTGACCTCACAACGATTTGATTGGATTACGATTCACTAAATCTTGAATGTCACGCTGGTTCGATTAAACTATTTTGGTAAGTTTCAGTATTTTTAAAAGAAATTCACTGAATACTGAAAAGCGACTGGGGGAGGTATTTATTTATAAAGTAGGCAAATATAGATAAAAGAACCAATGCACTAATTCTTTTCTGGCGGAGCGGCGAGGGGAGGTGGCGTTTGAAAATAGCCAAACAATATTATTCAGACAAATGACCATATTCAGATAGATGCATAGTGATGTCTGTTTAAGGATGTATAGTAGCTGAGTATTTACCTTTTCTGGTAACTGTGATTTTCTGTCCAGCTGGAAATCTGACCTTTATTTTCTTCTCCATGTTTTTCCCAACCAACAGGAGCCCCTCACATCATTTACTTCCTTTCTCTGTACATCTTGGTGGAGCTCTTCACATTCTTGAAGTAAGTTTCCTGGAATGACCTCACAGTTTTACATCCGTTTCTATTCTATGAACCACATGTACAGTACCTGCTGATGTCTGTAACGTTCTCACAGTCTTTGAATAGTGTAATAGAAGCACATCAAGGCAGCTGGACTTGTGCTTTAATCTTAAAGGCATTTTGCCGCTCATCCCACCACTCAGTTGAACTGAAAACCCTCATACGGGCAGCAAAATGTCTTTCAGGTTTTCATCACAAGCCTGACTGCCTTGACCGATCACTAGGCAGTGAATGCTGACTTAATCTAATTTAACCACTTGTTCTTAACTTTTTGTCTTCCTAGTCTCTTCATTGCAGTGTTAGCGGACAACTTCCAGCTGAGCATCCGCAAAAGGAGGCATCTCAAGAGTCAAAAGGTACACAGAGTTAAAACACCTGCAGTGGAGAATAATCAAGCATGTGTAATGTTTCTGTATCTAACTAAGCTCTTATTTTAGTCTCCAGATGTGAACGAGGGTGAAATTCAGTCCACCAAGAAGGTAGTAGAAGGTAAGTGTGTAACAGAACACTTACAAAAATATATAACATCTCCACATATAACATCTTTTTAAATTGTATCCTAAGCCTTCACTGATAACCTGGAGAAGGTCTTTTTGCGAGTGTCCACTTGGTTCCACTTCATAGGTTCAGTTTTGTGTTCCTTCAACAGCAGGCATGTTTTCATAGAGCCGTCTCCAGTGTGTTTTGATCTTTGGAATCAGTTAACAAATGTAGCTCTTTACGGAACCCAGTATGACAGGAAGTGAGAACAGCCTATGAAGCGAAAGCCTTTAAAGCAGATCGTTAATGTATTTCCAGTTTTGTGGAAGGCGTATAAATGAACCATCAGTACAGCAGCGTGTGTAGCAGACCTCAAATCTGTGATCTTTAAATGGCCTCTTCTTGAATTTACACATTCTGTATTTGTTGTTTGGATCTCTTTCACTTCCACAGTCCTGGAGATGAGTCAGTCTGAGATAGAGGAGGAACTCTACAAGGAGGCTCTCAGACAGGCTTCTAGTGAAAGCAAACACAGCAAGAGGTGAGAGAGACTGCTTCAGAAATACTTTTATGTGGCTACAACAAGCATGTCAGTGTAGGATCAGTATAGAATCAATAAGAATATGAAAAATAATCTCTAAAGGATTTTTATTGTTTACATTTGTAGGAAGATCGAATTGATTAACAGGCATCTGCAATTACTGGCCGCCATGGACCAGCACATGCAGAAATACAGATCACAAGCCTGTTTGCTGGACAATCTTGTGGAAACCTTCTTTACGGTGAGGAGCTTTTCTACATACATGCCATTATGATCAGCTCGACTACCAAAAAGATGTGTTGCTGGTGTTAAACACTGTTAAAGTTCTTTAACATTCAGAGTTCAGTCTGCAGCTTTAGTACACAAACATTATTCAGCTGGATATGAACTGTACTCGTCTTTACTGCTCACATAGAAGTTACTGACACAGTTATTGTTGTTTCAGGACCGGGATGAGGAGACCAAAACTGACACTGTTCAGTAACATCAGACCTGCAGACCTCCAGCTTCCACCAGCCCATTCCAGTTCAGAGCAACATCCACCAAATACACACACACAAGCAAGAACACCCTTAATCACCAATAAAGCCTGAAAGCAGAAGACAGCAGTGTGATTAATGCTCAACAGTGAGTTGGTCTTTATACTAAATCAACTAGACTTCAGTGAACACATCCACGTATGCAGACATCAGGAAATAGGGCTGGAATTTGTGGTAGGAAAAGCTCATTGTTTGGCTGTGATGCTTGTGCTTTAGTGAGATAAGCAAAAAAAGACACAACAGAAGAGAAGCTGTTGTTCAGGTAACTGACAGCACCTGAGGACAACAAGGTAGAAGTAAAACAATATAATAATAATAATAATAATAATAATACAGTGTTTGAGGGCAGTAATACAGCAAGCTTTCTTTGAAGTTGAAAAGACTGAATTTTACCCATGATGCATTAGTAAATACTGATGTTTGTACACTGCAGGTGCTTTTATAGATATAGCTGTATCACCTTTTTAGCCTGGATGCTTGGCTAAGGAGAAATGAACTAAACAGAGACGTTGCTAAGCTGTGGACTCAATTTGGAAATCAAGCAGAAGTAAAAATCCCTAAGAGATTTATTTTAGGATACTTTGCACAAAATTCACACAGGACTTTAAAGTCTGGTGTGAATTGCTTTTTCAATTAACTTAAGAGTGACTACTTCTTCCAAATCACAGCCCTCTCACTGACATTATATCTGACAGCAGATACCGCACAATCTCAGGAATCTCCACTAGGGGGCGACAGACAGCTAATAACAGAACAGGAACAAGTTCTGTTTTATGGTGAAAGTTATTAAACTAGTTTTACCTCCAGTTTAAATCAGAGTCACGTTCTTAATAAATTGTGCTGAATGTTAATTTTACCTGATGAATAAAAATGTAATTGAAATACTGAAATTATATTTGAAACTATATTTATTGATCCATCAAAAAAATGAATGAGTTCAGAAACTGTTCATTTTTGTCTCTACAGTGTAAAAGAAGGCAGTGATCAGTGACCTTTGTGTTCTGTTGGCTGTAGATTCACATGATTGTGTACAAAAATATGTAAATTATAAACACATTTACTTTAACTTTATCTCAGTTAAGCTTCAGTTAAATTAAGCTACTTTAAAACATTCTTCTTCAGCTGGACTGAAGGATGATGGACATTCACCTTAAAAACTGTAATGTGACATCAGTGTATTTCTAATTTTACTGAAGTCAGTTTCTCTTGATGTTTTTCACCCCCCACCCCCAAACAAACACTCTCTCATTGTGAAATGACACAAGAATCCACAGGTTTCAGCCCAAATGTGTTTTTGGACATATTGTTCTCTGTCCTCTCAGAATTCTCTATAAAGAGTGCTTGTCCCCTACATCAGGGGGTCTCAACCTTTTCCACCTCAAGGCCCACCTGTTTTTAACTTAAGAGCACAGCAGCCCACAAGAAAGAAAAACTGCAGACACTGTCAAGGAGTTGTTGTGCAGTGAAACTTTATCTCTTGCACCAATAGTACATAATCATATGCGTCTAAGGATTTATATTCACACAGCTTTTTGTATAAACACTGGGTGTCTGTATGAGGTAACTGTGCATATTGGGCCATGTTGGCCACTTGGACATACCTGAAATCCATTTGTGGTCAGGAATAGTGTAGGGATCTGGTCATTTCTGGTCATAACTGAGAACTAATTTATTGAGGTAATCGATGCGGTTCGAGCTCTTCAGGCCATTTCCTCCCTGCCCCAGACCTGACAAGCTGTCATGTGTCTCACGTCTTGTACAGTATGTTTACAGTAGCTGTCAAATTCAGCTGTGGCAGGTCATAAAGTAACATTGTAGTAAACATTTTTACTTTGACTTATAACTTAGCCACACTAACGGTACCACCATGCTGCTGATATTGTCGAATGAGGAGAGGAAAGACAGACAACAAACAACTTAACCAGGTAAGTTGGGTGAAATTCATAGGACATGTCAGCGACACATAAAGGTCTTTGATTTGGAGAGCTCCTATTAGCTAAACATCAAGCAAACAGGCGTTCATAGAGACCTGATGACCAGCGGTACTGATAGTTAAGTATTGTTAGCTAATGTTTTACATTGTTATATTAATATGCAAATGAAAGACAAACAAACAGATCCAACTCTGAAATGGCACTTTAATATTGAGTCGTCATAAATTTACAGACAATGCAGAATCTACACTGATTACAACAGCTGACTGTTACAATTTTGTAAGTTACCAAAGCAGTTCTGACCCCTAAATAAAAAAACCTTGTGGTTTTGCATAATAGATATAATAGTGATATTTACATTGTAGACATTGGGACTCCTGGTTCCTATCACCACCACTGTAAAAAAAATCTGAGCCATCAAGCTTCTCTGCAAATGAACCATTTCACATCAAACCAATCAGAGTGACTTTATTTATATGTCAATCACTGAATTATACAGACATTTTGAAAAATCAATGGAATCTTTAACAAACTAACACACAGCAGAAAGACACCTTGTAGGCTAAACGCAGAGACGTAACTACATGGAATACACATTTGTACATTGTCAGCTTTTTCCAGCTTTGTCTATTGTTCCCTGTTCACAGCTCTACATGTGAGGAATCTGATGCTGCGAGAATCTCGGCTCAGCTTTTGACTGCTATTTTCTTTTACATCAGTTTAAATCTCTACAGGCTTTACAACACAAAACCAACAACTGTTTGTCTGACAGCGTGTCGAACATGAACTGCTGCCAAAGTGGAACAAGTTATTAACATTATACCACAGAGATGGTATAATATTAAGGAGGAAGCCGGTCACTGGTTAAAACATGAATAGGAAAACTTGTAACGCCAACATGGCATCGGTTTGGCGTCAGAGACAGTCCTGCACTTCAATAAAAAGAGCCAATCAGTTTGCGGATGATGCCCTGAGCGGAAAAACATTGATGATATCAAAGATGATATTGTGGGTTGATGGGGAAAGAGTTCTGCGCATGTACAGTAGCCAGAAAAAGCCAAAAATATTGTTTTTTGTGCATTTTTTAGCCAAACGTTACAAACTATTTATGAAGTTTCTGTCAAAATTCACTGGAGATTTCAAATATCGTTTTAAACAGTAGTTTGAAGTATTTTGGTCTCTCCCCTTTCAAAGAGATATGAGTCTGGTCTTGTATGGCTGGAAATAACTGCCGGGCGGTGTTGCTGAGATGGCTGCCAAGTGAACATTCCTGTAAGAACTTTGTATAAGTTCGAAGTTTGGGAGCGCTTAAATACAGAACCTTACAGCACTAACATGCATGTTCTTCCATTAGTGATGGGGTGTCGATTCTGAAAGAGTTGACTCCAGTATGTCTGAGAGTCGGGGTTAGACTCTAGGCAAATGACCCTTCACTCTGTCTACTCTGTGCTTTTTCATCATATTTGGCTCCTTGAAGGATGGTCTGCTGGTTTTTGCAGTTAAGTTCACTATTATAAATGCATGCCATTCCTCCTCCTGCTGTGCCATTATCACTAAGCCACATTCCTGACAGAAACATAAAATCTAGATGATGCTTTTTAGATCTCGAAGTGTTTTTTGTTATTTAATGATCTTACGTTGATTAGAGCGAGGTTTAATGTATGTATGTATTCTACAAAGTAAATAATAGTCAGAAAGAACAAATATAAACATTCAAGGCCTTAATACAAAAGAAAATGCATGAGTGAGAGATGATCAATGAAAATGAAAGCGGGGGTGGTGCCACACCTCTAAAAGTGGTGGGGCCAAACATATTGCTTCCAAAAAAAAAGTGGCTGAGTGACAAAATGTGATTAGACCACTGACAAACATTGCCTTTCATGTCATGCTAATGACGTCTTCATAAACCTATTCAGTTGAGGGTAGTAAGTAGTTACATTTACTCATGAACATGTACTTCAGTAAAATATTGATGGCTTTTTACTCATCTAAGTATTTTCAAATCATATTTTTAATTCTACTAAAATGAGTAAAGGAATCTTTTTACTCCATTACATTTTAGCCATTTGTATTTAGTTACTAATTCCATTTCTTTGTGTTTAATTTCAGTTTTTTTGATGGTGGCAATATTTGTACTGCTTTGTGATTGGTTACATCTCTGACTTTGGAGCTTTGTATTTTAGACCAAAATCCCAAAAAAATAAGAATAGAGCTGCACAATCTTCAGTTCCTATGCTGATAAATGCTTGATGTACTAAGGAGTTTCACTACTCAGTACCTGCTTATTTTGTATTTCTAATCAAGTTTTTGTGGAAGGTACTTTTACCTGGTATAATTATTTTATGCAAATATCAATACTTCTACTTGAGTATTGATTTAGGCTCCACTACCCTCCTCCTAATCTGATCATGTACAGTGTCAGTGTTAGTTTTGATTCTGCTTCAGTAGCTGCAGCCTCAGACAGCAGTATTTGTTAGCGAACATCTCTAAAGAACATCAGGCTGTTTTCCTACCCAGTTCATTTTCTGAAGACTGCACCACAGTTTGTTTTTGTGATATTGTATCTCTTTCCTTTGGTTTGGATGGTGGACTGCAAGGGCTAAAGTTGAATAAATTACATGTGTGTTTGTTTATTAACTAGAAGTTTTGCAGGAATACTAGCGTTCTGTTACTCTCACGTTCACCACCATGAAAATAGAGAAACAGATAATAGAGACGCTTATCATCTTTGTGTATACCAATTTAAATGTAACTGATCAGGTTGTTCCCTGCGATGGACTGGCGACCTGTCCAGGGTGTATCCTGCCTTCTGCCCAATGACAGCTGGGATAGGCTCCAGCACCCCACCGTGACCCAGAAGGATAAGCGGTTTAGATGATGAATGGATGGATGGATGATCAGGTTATTGATGCTTGGCCAAAAATTTGCTCCACGGTTCATATGCCAAAATCAAATGCATATCATTATTATATAGTAGAATCTTATCATAGTTTGGACACAACTGATAATAATTCCACGATTTCTGACAAAAAATTACTATTTTGCTTTTGAGGTCTATGTATTATAATTATCAATAGTTATATGTAAATAAATATTACAGGCAGCCAGAAATGGTCTTCAGCCACAAACATATCATTATTGTTATGATATTAATTTTAAGGGATGCACATAATTTTAAGATTTGGGCACATGAAATTGGCACATATTTTCATTTGAATTGAAAAAGAAAGGAATATGCTGCCAGTTGTATGCATATGTCATTTGAAAGTACTCTAGACACGTGTGTATGGCACATATGTTGTGAGTTACCTGTACAGAAGCTGAAATGACCAATGGACCAGTTAGGTTCTCAAATGAAGCAACAGACATGAAAGTCACGAGACCAGTTATGTGCCAATTTATGTACTGTACTGAGAAAATATTATGCCGTTTGCTTCAATATAGCAAACATTCTCTTTTTTTCAGGAAATAAATTAAAATGTAATAAATAAATCAATGTACAGAAACTCAAAGTGCAGAATCACAGGTAAGAACTTCTTCTTTCTTCTTTCTTTTTTTTTAAACCCAAGTATTATTCAGTGTTATTGGTCTACACTAATCACCTATGTGGTCTATTTCAGGTTTGGTAATTCAGTCCTCGGCTAAGTTTACAATTAGTGTAACCTTTTTATAGTTATTTTAATAACTAATTCCTTCTGTTCCAGGTTCAGTTTACGTTTGGTTCTACGGGTTGAGGTAAGAATTTTTACCATTTTGTTATTTATTTTTAGAGTTTAGGATTTCATTTCATATTTAAAGATAGAAACTAATATTTATTATTGGTTTAACTTTAGCTTTTCTTTGAAATAGGCTTTAGGCTATTTAGCTCAAAATCACCTTACCTTGAAATTGTAGGATTAACCATCAACAAACCAAGAATTGTTAATGACATTAACAGTGATAAAAAAAAACAATAAAAAAAAATATCTGTCTTTGCTTTAAAGTAAATTAAGTTTTTTTTAATGTATTCACTTCAGCTTCAAAGTTCAGTCTTGCTCAAATATCAAAAATCAGTGAACGAGTAAATAAGAATGAAGAATGAAAGTCCAGCCAAAAAAAAGGAATACTCAAACTCAAGATTTGGTTGGGTGGTCCTTAACAGGGCTTGGCTCACTGTCTTGTCCCTGCAGTTGCACCAGTAGTTCTTAATCAGACAATTTATTATTTTGGCTATTTTAGTCAAAAATATGTCTATATGAATACATGTTTCACATATTTCAATCCAATCCGATATGTTTATATTTTATTGCAGATGTAAATCACGATGAAGTTCTCCCTCCACAGCAGCTCTACAGGAATGACTGTCTTGGTTTTCCTTACTTTCAGCCTAAGATATCAAACTGAGAATTTTTTTCCCGTAAGCTTTTTGTCTCTCCTCACTCAGAGGTTTTCTTCTACAATTAGAAACACTTAATTCTAGTGTTTCCCAGTTTAAAGCTATAATAATTCTAGGACATCAAGCTGAAGACCTTCTGCATGTCTCTCTCTCTCCTCTGGTACAGAGAGAAATTTTTGGAAGAAGAAAAAGCTTGGGGGCCACGCCTACTTGGCCACTGATTGGCTGAAATTTTGTGCAATGGGCTTTGTTTAGATTTTTGCACTGTGAGCTTTCCCAGGAATACTATTGACTGTTTCTGTGAGTTTAAGAGTTTTATTTCTTCATTAATTATTATTATATTTTATCTTATGTGATTTTTCAGGAAACCATAAGTTTGTTAACCTCTAATAGTTTCAATTGATTATTTTATTCCACTAGTGCCTGTTTGTTATGCTATAATAAATTATACTCAACAAACCATGATTTTAAACAATTTAATTCAATTTCTCAGCTTTATTAGTGCCTCTATATTATTTATTCGAAACTTGGGTTACACATAGCAGTGTGTCTTTCTTTGTATTATAAATAATTCATATATCAATACTCACTTGGATGATTTTGCCCTGTAGAGTGCAGCACTCATCGCTCCTTCCCATGTCGTGTTTGTATTCTTTAGAGGGTGGATGGACGGCATGGTTGCATTTAGTCTACAGGTCGCTTGAGACTCTGACCTCCCCAGCTTTAAACCCAGTGGTGGAAGGCGTCAAAAACAATCTGGCTTGACTGTATTGTTCAGTCAGTGTGTAATGTTTAATGTAATACAACTGGCCCGCCTCAAGGTGGTCATAATCCTCCTTTTAAGTGGGCTACTGCAAACTCTCTCCATCACACAGAGCACAGTTTACTATAGGCTTAGAGGCCCTGAACCACAACTGTACCATCCACCACTTCATAAATAAGCGCTCTTGGCGCACTGTACTTGGCCACACACTGGGGTTGAGGACATCCACAGAGTGTTGAGAAAACATTCCAGGGAAAAAAACTAGAACAAAAAAAGAACAAAACTGTAAGCTTAAAAAAGTGTCAATCAATCAATCAATCAATCAAACAAATCCCTAAATGAATAGAGAAGTTAGGCTAGGGGAATAGTGAGTGTGGAGATTCATCACAGTGCATAGTATGCACGGCTGGAGCCACTTTATTTTGGATAATGCCCCTATTCACACCAGCAGGAAATCCTGCCCATTTCACCAAACTCTGGCGATTATTTCCCCCTCCTTTATGATTACAGTGAAGTTTGTGTACATTTTTGTAAATGTGAGGGTCTTGTGAGTATTCTGAGCATAAACATGCATTTAACATGAGCTGATCTGATTAAAAAACAATTTTGTTTTTGGTTGTTCAGCCCGCTGCCCATTCTTTCAGCACAGGGTGCTGCTGTCGCCTCAGACGCAAGATGTAAACAGACAGGAACCATCTTGGTTTATCTTTTATATCTTTGGTGACAGCAACTCAACATATGGCTCCACTCCAGCGGAATAAACTGACCAGTCAAAAGCTTTCTTATGTGTAGAGGCTCTGTGGTTTGATTTTCCCACTAACCAACCACTTTGCAGGCTTTATGACTTAGAAACAGTATCCAAGCTAACCTTGAATGAAAAAACTATGGTGTCCTTCAGGTCAAAAGCTTATTTATGAGCCCTGTAGCTAACCTGACTAAAACTGTGAAGAACTGTTAGGGGAAAAACTTATTTGTTCCCTTACAAAAAATAATTGCAGTTACTTTGAAATTAACTGCAATTATACTGCAGTACATTGCAGTGGACCATAAGCACTCTATTTAGCTGTATCTTCAGAGAGTCTATTGTTGCTTACTGGCTGGTCAGGGAGCTGGACTAGATGGATTTAAGTAGTATAGAGTGGCACATTACTTCCCATAGAAATCCACTGCTGTTCAGTGAAAAGGAGTTTGGTGGCTCCACACGTATCAGAGGAGGCATGTGGGGGCCTGCAGCCCTGCTTGCCAGCATTTCTCTTCTTGTTATTTGTTACAGAACCACATCCAGCAGACATTTAATATTTCAGCGTCTCAGATCAAGACAGTCATTCATACCAAGCTGAACAATGAAGACAAACTTCGGAAAAAAAGACACTGCGCTGCACCAGTTTCATCCTCTTAGACTGAATTCAGTTGATTGAATCTAAATTCAATTGTTTTAAATTCCTGCTCAGATTGTTAAAATAAAATTATATCTTTTAAAAAAATCACATAAGCTGTAAATGAACTGTGACAAAGTTCACTGGATGTAATTTTGTCTTTGGTATGTTGTAATTTTTTTTACCATTTACTCACCATAAAAAGTGCAGTTGTTTTTTGTGGACACTGCAGTTCTTGAAGATGTTTTTACTGCAAGTATCACTTTATTGTTTCAATTATACTCATATGGCTGAATAATCTAATTAATATCTGCGTTTATATTGCAGTTCTATTGCATTATTATTGTGTTTGAACTGCAGTGATTGTAGTATTTTAGGAGTTTAATCCATTTGTGTTTTACCTTTATTGTCACAAAAAACTGCAGTGATTTTTTGTAGGGCCTGAAAAATATTCGATGAGATTTTTTGCTTTAATCCCTCCCCCAAGTCAAACAGGAACAGTTCTCCTTTCACTTTGGGACTTGGAGTTGAGACCCTCCTATTTGGAGATGATCCAGGAAAACATCCGTAGCAGCTCCGCAGTTTGGTTGTTCCCTCGTTTTGTGGCTGTAACGTCCTTCTGTGTGTGTCTGTGAAAGCCTTCCTCTACAGAGAGCTCAGCTGGAGACGCTCCTCGCCGTGTTTACTCTGCTCTCATCACGTAGCGGATTCAGAAAACGGCTGAAAGAGAAAATCCTCGAGGCTCCGTCAGACACTGGAGCAGGTATGAGACTCTAAGCTGGTGGACCCGTGTATTAAGCAACGGGCCAAACTGAGTTTCTGTGTGTTTTGTAGCTTCTGAAAAAAATCTGTTCGGTTCGGTTCGTTCGGGTCGCTAAACCCACCCGTTTTCTGGCGTTAGACTGAATCTCTGTGTGTTCATTAAAATCATAAAGCCTTTGTTTTTAATTCTGCATCTTCTGAACTGGTGAAAGTGTCTTTGTTTGTGTTTCCTTTGTCTTATAGTTTTAGTGAAGGTGTTACTGAACTTGAGCTCCAAGCTGAATAAAATCGCACCCGTTTAGAGGCTCTCCGAGGCCGAAGCTGCTACAGGGCGGGTGATGGAGTTTAGGAGAAAGTGGATTCGAGATGCTCGTGTGGAGAAAAGCTCCACCAGGGGGCGTTAGAGAGAGAAACTCGGGGAAACCAGCGCAATGACTTTCTAAGACCATCAGTACAAAACACACATTCAGTATTTCAGGAAGCAGTAATGATCTGGAGATCAGGAGGAATGTGGGGAATCTGCCATAAGCAACATGGAGTGAAATAGAAAAAGTAGTTTTTATTGCTGGTGTCACTGCAGCAGTTAGTCAACAGGAATACTGGCTCTTATTTATCCAAGATCACAGATCAGAGCTGAATGATGAACAAACTCTGCATCTGATTCACGAAACCACAGGGCTGAATTTACCCTCACATACATGTAGGGTGGGAATGTGATGTCATAACGCAGTGCTTTATGGGTATCCACCATTGTGGCGGGGTTTGTCAGTCTGGGCTGGTCTAGAATAGTTGAAAAACACCAACTTTTCTACGTAATTTCCTTGATTTTGGCTGACAGCACCACTACTGATCAGCACCACTACTGATCAACTAACATCACGTTTACCTCTCAAAACGAGCTGTTTTCCAGACAAAATGTACGAGGGAGAGTAGAGTAAACGCACCTGTTCAGCTCACCAAAATCTACACTGAGACATTTTTAGAGCCCACGCACTGATTTCAGCAGGATAAGTGACGTTAAAAATTAAATATTGATTTCTCATACAATTATATTCAACTTAAGCTCTTCTGTAATTTAAAATAAAGATATCTTGAAAAGCAAAAAAACTACTTGTATGTTGCAATTCTGTGAGAATATCAACTTTTTCGGCACTAAATTTCATCGGATAATATTTAGAGAGGAATTATATTTTATTAATTATTATAATTAAATTAAATTAATTATTTGGATTCTTAACTTGCATTAAAAGTAAAGAATGTGCCTATTTTTCCTATAAAGTTGCCGTTTTGGAGAGGCCAGAACCAAAATTAAATTATTTAAATTAAAGAGAGAGCGTACTCTTCCCCAGTGACCAGGAAATGAGCCACCCCCCCCTTCAGGAAAGCGTACTCTTCCCCTGGGCCTCTGGGCCCGGTTCTTCACAGCTTCCTGGCCTCGTCTCGGAGTGTTGAAGAATAGTAGGTTCTTTTTCATGTGATGCCGTTTCAGTGTGCAGGTACAGAATGAGAAAAATAACGTGTTTTTGGAACATTGAAGCATGTAAATCTATTCTAGTAGAGCCTAAAAATACAATTATGAACACTGAAAATGAGCATAACAGATCTTTGTAACTCAGAGGATCCAGTGACAGAAACATAAGAAAACAAAGACAACTTAATAATATAAACCAGAGAACAACATTTTAAATGTTGGTGTTGAGTGCAGGTAAATGACCAGTCGCTCAGTGTACGGCTGCATAATTTAATGCCTGCACCTTTAAGGACGAGAGCGGATGTGTTTACTGCATGCTGGAAAACCTCCAAGAGGAAAGGGTGTAGCTCCAAATGAGAGGGCAAGATTAGAATTCCCATTGTTTTTTCTGTGACTCTGATTCAGTGTTCCTGCTGGCTGCTTGTAGAACAGAATTAGCCACCTGATAACATTAAAACTCTGTTTACTGATGGTCCTGTGTGTCTTAAATACATAGACAGATCATGATGTCCATTTGATTTTTTTTTAATGATCCAAAATATGTGTATTTAAATGGGCTCCGGGTTTGATTCACATCATAGTCTAATTTAATTATTTCCGCTTCAGATTTCATATTGAAAGTCAAGTGGATGTGCTTTTGTGTGAACATTGAAATTATTCTAATGCCTTTGCTGTTAGTGGCCAAAAACGGAGGTGATCTATGCAGATTTGCTTTTTCAAATAAATATGAAGTGTATTAAGTTACTTAGTTATAGTTTAGGTTCTCAGCTCGAATGAATATCAGTGACATAAGATTGAGAAATGGCTTCATGGTGCCACATACTCAGACCTAATTTTGTTGGCTGCAAGGTCACATTAAAGAGGAGCGGCAATGAAATGACTGAAAAAAGTAACATAAACACAGCCTTGTAGCTCTGTGTTCTTTTGATAGTTTGTGATTGAACACTAGAGTTATGTCTGCTTGCCAGCGAATATGGAGTCGCTGATTTAGCTTAAACCAAAGATTTCATAGCTAGAAGCCATTTCTAACAGTAGCTGTACTTCCAGACGAGGTAGGTTTCATTAGCTGCTGCACCAGCTGGCCAAGATTGAGCTGTAGTGACACATTTACAGCCTGACAGTGACTTCTGTAACATCATAAACGGAAACCTAAACTTTTATATGTAATGTGGCTTTGGTGGGCTTCAAGCTCTCTTGTTAGTGTAGGCTACAGGTAAAGTGACCAGTTTTCTGAAATGAAAACCAAGGACATTTCCAGTTCGATGGTCAATATATCATTAAAATATCCCATGTTTTCATCTATGCAATAAAAAAGGGGGCCAGTTCCAGTTTCCTGTATTTTGGCCATGGTAACTGCTGTAATGTAATAAACTATGATTGAAGGCCGACTGATAAAATCGGACACTAAGTAACTGTTTAAACCATGTCAGAAAATCATACAGTAGCTACCATGGAGAGTGAAGCTATGGGAAACAGTGAAACACTCAATAAAGAAAATGGTTAAACTACAGTGGTTCAATAGATTTCAGCTCTACCCCACATAGTTGTTGATGCTGTTCCCCATAATCATGTTAACTAACTCTGTCTGTGAGCTCACGGTGCAATTAGAGAGAAAGACACTGCTGCCAGAGGAGCTGCTGACTGAGACTGACGTTAACGTTACTCTGAGCAGCATGCATAGGAGTAAATTACAACAGTCCTATAAAAGATTGATATGTCTTGCTCTCCCCTTTGCGAGACGTGTCGCTTGTTAGAAATACAGTCGCTCAGTAAAAAAGGTCTCAGATCTCACTAAGTCTAGTGACTCAGCCAGGGATGAGGCAGAGACACATTTACCACAGACGATTCAGTGGCTGTATGAGCCCATAATTCATATTCACATTAAATATTTTGTAGAAAAAAGAGACCCATGGCTACAAAAAAAAACCCTGGTCCAAAAGCCAGACCCTAAAGCTAGGTTTACACATGAAGCATTGTAAGTGGCATGTGACAAAATGACTCAATCGCCTCCGACACCACACACTGTTGCAGCGCGTTGCCATGCACCTCTGAATTTAACTTGGTGCTCTCCTCAATCGTGGAGCTTCATTCAAAATGAATGGATTTAAAGGGAGATTTGCTTAGCAGGTTCACCTCCACAGGCACGTGTGTGAGAGCGCCATCATATATCAGAAAATACTGCAACAACGGAAGCGTAACTGTAAACGCAAACAGGTTCACGTGCCGTCTTGAGTAAATGAAGTGCTGCACACGGTGAGCGCCAAGTTACAAAAATTCAGAGGTGCCAGTGTTCAGGGTTGGAGGTGTCGCGATAGCAGCATGCACACCCTCATCCACTTTTAGTGCGTCAAGTATAACGCTTAACTCAGCCTTTAGGGCTTTACGGTGAGTTTTTAATTCACAGTTAAAAACTAATAACAGGGACATCTGGTCACCCTAGCTAGAGGTGCTAGTTAGCTAGCCTAGCATTAGCAGTTTAAGGAGTACCAAATGAGTATCAAACATTAAAGCTAGCTGGCTAGCTGTAATTTTTAAAGCAGTACTTTGGATAACATCCACGTTTCACTGCTCACTCAGAAACACGACTCCTGGTTTGTGTCTTAGCATCGTGGCTCTGCTGTCACATTTTGATTCCCCTTTTCTGACACAGTTGTTTGTGGTGAGGAAGAGCCGTGTAGTGTCTCTCACATAATGTGCCAGCTAGCGTTAGCTGTTCATACCAAGCTGATGTAGGAGACATTACATCGCTGATGGTTTATTATCTAAGCTTTTTAAATACATGAGTACAGAAATTGCTGATAAATCGCAAATCATAAACCTGCTTTAAATTAGCCAGATAACAGTTTGGAATAACTGTTCTTTTGTATCAAGATAGTAGTTTAAAAGCCAAATAAAGAGTTGTACAGATGTAAAGTTGTTTTCTCTAAAATATACTGTATCATTATTTAATTAACATTTTTCTGTTTTAAAATTAGAAATTAATTTGGAGTAAAAATTACATGAATTCCATGAATTGGAATGATATGTCATGAAACATGACAGTCATGCGTCTAAGCTATGCACTGAAATGTATTTGAAATCTGTCTAAAGATTCATTTTTTTCTGTTTTGCAAAAAGTGTGCTTAACATGTTCTTTTCTGTCCTGCTCTGATATGATGGGTGGTTCTCATGTTCTGCTGTAATAAAGTTGGAACTGTGTTATATTCAATGTAATAACTCACTCATAAACAGTGAGGAAAAATTGGAATTGGGCAGCTCTAAAAATTTCAGGCATGAAATTAATTTTATGCTGTACGTTAAGCTGTTGATTAGATTTAAAGTTTTTAATAAAATGCCGTAAAGTGTACAGGACACAGTAGAGTTAACATCAAGGCAGTTTGTATATGTTTGTATTGAACCCATAACAAACCATTTAACAGAACGCAAACACATTTGGAGTTACAGGGAAATTCCACCAGTTTTTCAAAATATCAGAATAATTCACTAAAATGTCAGAATAATTCACTAGTTGAGATGTAAACAGAGTGACTCAGAGAGGTTTGGTGTGAAATGGTTCAGATTTATTTACAGTGGTGATAGGAACCAGGGGTTGCCATGACTACAACACAATCCAAAACCACCAGTGAACCTACACGAGAGAGGAGGACAGATCTACTGAGGTAGAGAGAGTTTACAGTATGAATGGTGCAGTGAAGTGTTCCTCATTTCCAGCCTCACCTGATTAACCTCAGCAGGTAGTCTCTGAGTGTTTCTATACTCTTATATGAAGATCCTGAAGATGCCATAACAGGATTAGTCCCGTGGAACTAAAGAGAACCTAACTGTAGCCTAATGGAGAGTCTGAGCCTGTATTAGCTCTGAGTACAGTGGTCATCTGTACACGGCTGAACTACAGCAGCTCAGAGTGATGGACCATTTACTGAGAGATCAGATTACTGTTCCACTCCAACACCGTCCACCTGAGAATGATCATACAGTTCTGGATCAAAATTACACAGAGATCTTTTATTATCATGGTGATCAGCTGAAGCTGAAATATGAGATTTACGTCTCTACAACGTCATTGTTTATTCAACACTCTGTTTCCATCACCCTGTATCTCATCTGTATTAATAGACTATGTTCACCTCAGTTAAATGTAAAATCATCTTTTGCAAGATTTAGTGTTTTCATTTGGCTTTTCGTTGAAGTTTTTCTAATGTCTAATTTCAGAGTTCATGTACAAAGTGATAAACACTCTCTAGTGTGCAGTTCTGTGTGATGGACAGTCTGAGCTCTACACGGCAGATTAGTATCATATAATGACTGATTATAATTAATAAAGACTGGAGCAGCAGAAGATGTGATGGTGTCCGATTCCTGTATCTGCTTTAACCACCTCTCTTGTTACATAGTATTGGATTATTTTTAATAAACATGACATAAATTTCCCAAAACTATTAGTTATTTAGTAGAATCTAGTAAAATAACATTTAGTTTCATATGTTAAATGTTGTATCAGTAACCAGGTATTATTTCATGCTACATTATTGATCTGTTCACAGAGAGCAGCATCTCCAGTGTCCAGCTGTGTGTGGAGAGTAAAACCTCAGTGATGGAGCTTCATCACTCCAGCAGTGGAGGAAGAACCTCTGATTTAAAGTGAGTAACTTTATATCAGCTCTTAACCTGATTAAACAGAAAGAGGAAATCGTGACTTATGATCAGAATAAGTGAGTCTTAGTGAAGAACATAATTACTCAGCACTTTAATATCACTGTGGATAAACTTTTCTCAGAGTGAAGCGTGCAGCATCTCCAGGACCCAGCTGTGTGTCTATGAAGAGTGACACGTCCATGAAGAACCGTCCTGTATTCAGCAGAGGAGAAGGAGAACCCAGCTGTGTGTCTATGAAGAGTGACCAGTCCATGAAGAACCGTCCTGTATTCAGCAGAGGAGGAGAAGAACCTAGCTGTGTGTCTATGAAGAGTGACCAGTCCATGAAGAACCGTCCTGTATTCAGCAGAGGGGGAGAAGAACCCAGCTGTGTGTCTATGAAGAGTGACCAGTCCATGAAGAACCGTCCTGTATTCAGCAGAGGAGGAGGAGAACCCAGCTGTGTGTCTATGAAGAGTGACCAGTCCATGAAGAACCGTCCTGTATTCAGCAGAGGGGGAGAAGAACCCAGCTGTGTGTCTATGAAGAGTGACCAGTCCATGAAGAACCGTCCTGTATTCAGCAGAGGGGGAGAAGAACCCAGCTGTGTGTCTATGAAGAGTGACCAGTCCATGAAGAACCGTCCTGTATTCAGCAGAGGGGGAGAAGAACCTAGCTGTGTGTCTATGAAGAGTGACCAGTCCATGAAGAACCGTCCTGTATTCAGCAGAGGGGGAGAAGAACCCAGCTGTGTGTCTATGTTACCAGCACAGTCCAGTAGAGAGAGAGGATCCTCTGACTCAGGGTAAATATCCACTACCAGTTTATTGATTATTACATAGCTGCCTGATTGCGATTATTTGAGCTGACTGCGATCATTTTCTAGTTATTTCATTTCAAGCCCAACAAACAGATTTTGAATTATGTGCATTTTCATCACAACAAATAAGGTGAGACAAATAACTGAATGAGCACAAGTTAATCTTAATTACAGTTTGAAGCTGAAGGGCCAAGACACGTTTGGTGTGTGAAGTTTGCTTATTTAGTTTTAGCACTGGAGCTACAAGGCTAATGTTGCTAGCTAACAAGTGGAAGCTTACACGGCTTATGTGGCTTAGCATCGTGCAAGCTGCATTCGTAAATCATACTCACTTTGACGTGCAAACAGCAAGAAATGCGCAAGCAAACTATTTTATATGTAATTTGCTAATGAATTGTCATGAGCAGCTTTAAACATGGATTCAGATTTAGTTGCAAAGCCAAACACATCATCAACGCTGTGGGCATATTTTGGTTTCAAGCCAAATAAAAAGGGAGAGCCCAAAAACTTTTTGGAGGTGATTTGTCAGATTTGAAATGAAACCATCTGCAGATCCACCACCGCAGCCAGTTCACCGAACTTGGGAAGACAACTGTGTCATCAGATTCTTCCTGGCAGCTGCCTATTCCCAGAGACTCTTGGGTGAGGGTTTACAGCCAAGGAAATGCTGCTGTTCGGTACAGTAGAAAAAACAACATTCAAAGAAATGTTGCAGACGTTTGACAAGCAGTACAAATTGCCAGGAGAAACGTACATTTCCAAAATGGAAATTCCCAACTTATACTTTTACTACTAACTATTATTTTCAAGCCTATAGGCATACAAATTTAATTTAAAGACAACAGACAAATATCTTTATATATATTTATGAAGGAATTGTTCAATAAATTGACATTCTTCATCATAATACTGTGTGTACATTATTACACTATTATTAAGCATACAGGCCCCATAAAATAATGGAAGTGTAAAAACAGACAATTGAATCATTAATTGTGATTATTTGTATGACAATTAATCATCAGTTAAAATTTCATGAGCGTGACAGCCCTCCTACCAGTAAACAACAGTTCTGACAGTGAATCATTGTGAACGTTTCTGATTTCTGTCCTACATGTTGCAGATCAAATTGTAAAGGCTGGAGTTTCACATATTTAATATTAGCAAGACTGAAACCCAGAGAGCAGTTTCTCCAGTGTCCAGCCTTTACTGATATTTAATAGGGTCCTAAAGGAGCGTGTTGGTGCTGTCTGGGCTCTCACACAGACACAGAACTGTTTTTTTTAAATGCAGTGAATAAACTGTACGTGTGAAAACACCATGTTTTATGTTCTCCAGATATTTATTATCAAATTTTTAGTTATACTTTATTTGGACATTATTAGTACCACAAGAAAATTGCCCCTAGGTGTGAGTGTGTGAGTGAATGTGTGTGTTTGTCTGTCTGCCCTGTGATGGACTGGCGACCTGTCCAGGGTGTATCCTGCCTTCTGCCCGATGACAGCTGGGATAGGCTCCAGCACCCCCGCGACCCAGAAGGATAAGCAGCTTAGAAGATGAAGATGTGTGTATGTGTGTGTGTGTGTGTGTGTAGTACCACAAGAATTGATGTTTGACCGAATGCTTTACAGTACCACAAGACTTGTGGTACATTATATTACTACATTGTTGCCTGGGGATATTTGTAACTGTAAGTTTTGGACATTTTAAACTAAATAGCTCAAATCTAATGACACAAATGATTAGAAGTTTATTATGGGTATTTGTATTAATGATGTTTATGTTACTGTGTTTGGCCTTGATTAGGCAGCACTCCACACAAACAGCATTACAGGCAAACACTCTGAAAGATATTTACCAACCAGTGGATGACGTCCTTCACAGAGTCTTAGAGAGACACAAAACCAGCATGAAGAACAAGTACGAGAGCTTAATTGAGGGAAACAGAACACAAGAGAATAAAACCCTCCTGAACAGGATTTACACACAGCTCTACATCATAGAGGGAGCGAGTGAAGGAGTGAATGAAGAACATGAGGTTCTACAGACGGGGAAAACATCCAGGAGACGCTTACAAGACTCTCCAATCAACTGCTTAGACATCTTTAAATCTCTACAAGGTCCTGGAAGAGAAACACAAGAAGGGAACATTAGAGCTGTGAAGGCTGACAGTCTCAGACACAAAGAAAGAGAAGAAGATAACAGACCAAAAGAGCCAGAGCTCAGAAGTGTTATGACTAAAGGCATCGCTGGAATTGGAAAAACTGTCTCTGTACAGAAGTTCATTCTGGACTGGGCTGAAGGAAAAGCCAATCAGGATGTGGAGCTCATGTTTGTGCTTCCGTTCCGGGAGCTGAACCTGATTAAAGATGGTCAATACAGTCTTCATGGACTTCTGTGTGACTTCCATCCTGAGCTCAAACATCTGGACCCAGAGATTTATGATCAGCTCAAAGCTGTGTTTATATTTGATGGTCTGGATGAAAGTAGAATTCCACTGAACTTTGATGAGTGTGAGAAAGTATCTGACATCACCATGACGTCATCAGTGGGGGTGTTGATGACAAACCTCATCAAAGGAGAGCTGCTTCCCTCTGCTCTGATCTGGATAACCTCCCGACCAGCAGCAGCCAATCAGATCCCTCCTAAATACATCAAGCGTGTGACAGAAATTCAGGGATTCCGTGACCCACAGAAGGAGGAGTACTTCAGGAAGAAGATCAGTGATGAAGACCAAGCCAAGAGAATCATCTCCCACATTAAGACAGTGAGGAGCCTCCACATCATGTGCCACATTCCAGTCTTCTGCTGGATCTCAGCCACTGTTCTTGAGCAAATCATCAAACAGCGTCATACAGAAATCCCTAAAACTCTGACTGAAATGTACTCACACTTCCTGCTCACTCAGACAAACATGAAGAATGAGAAGTATGACGAGAAAGACGAGAGAAACCCAAAGAACCTGCTGGAGTCCAACAGAACCATTCTTCTGAAACTGGCTGAACTGGCTTTCAAACAGCTGATGAAGGGCAATGTGATGTTCTATGAAGAGGACCTGAGAGAGAGCAGCACTGATGTCACTGAGGCCTCAGTGTATTCTGGGATTTTCACTGAGATCTTTAGGGAGGAATGTGTGCTTTACCAGAGGAAGGTCTACTGCTTTGTTCATCTGAGCTTTCAGGAGTTCCTGGCTGCTGTTTATGTGTTTCACTGCTATGAGAGCAAAAACATGAAGGAACTGCAGATATTTAACCCACAGTACAGTGAGTGGTCTAAGAAAGATCTACTGGATGAGGTTCTGAAGGGAGCAGTGAATAAAGCTGTGGAGAGTCAGAATGGACACCTGGATCTTTTCCTCCGTTTCCTGCTGGGCATCTCACTGGAGTCCAATCAGAGACGTCTACAGGGTCTACTGACCCCAACACAGAGCAGCTCAGAGAGAACCAGACAGCACATAAAGAGATTAATCAAAGGAGATTATGATCACATCTCCACTGAGAGATCCATCAATCTGTTCCTCTGTCTGTCTGAAATGAATGACGAGTCTCTCTCCAGAGAGATTCAGAAGTATCTAAACTCAGAGAGACACTCAGAGGTGAAACTCTCTCCTGGACAGTGTTCAGCACTAGCCTGCACGCTTCTGACCTCAGAGGAGGTTCTGGATGAGCTGGACCTGAAGAAATACAACACATCAGTGGAGGGTTATAGGAGACTGATCCCAGCTCTGACTGTCTGCAGAAAAGCTCGGTGAGTGTTACATCTACATTAATACAGCAGATTAATATTGGATTATTGATTTATTAAGGCTGAACACATTAGATCTTCAGTTCAGACAATTAAAAATTAATTTAAGTTATTATAGTTTTAGTTATTATGAAGAGCTGCAGGTTCACTGTTTGGCCACTTTATTAGAAACCCATATTTGTGAAGTTATGACTGTTATATTGTCAGTATATACTGTGGTATACAGTGATAGTGACATTGTGATATTGACATATTGTGATAGAGCTCTTCAGTTTTAGGAACAATAAGCATGCAATTATTCAATTTATTAATTATGAATTATTACATTTACACTGTAAATATTTGAACATTTTTGTAAAACATATAAATGAGTAAATCTTGAAGAAGGAATCTGAAACAGTAGCTTATTTGGATGCCAACATCTAGAATAAATAATTATATATAGAATGAATTAAATCTAATTTACATGTTCTTCAATTAAACATATTAACAATAATTAGAATTCTTAAATGAAGTTCAAGTGATGTTTTACTATAAATGTCAACACCTTCAACTGTGTAGAATTACACAGGAGGACTTTTATATTAGAATTAGCTCGAGCTGATTACTTAAGATTTAAATTTGCATTTAATCTGTTTTATGGATGGGGTCACGCTAAGTATGGCTCTAGTGTTTATAATGTTATAGTGTTAGAGGAGGGGTCACGCTAAGTATGGCTCTAGTTTTATAGCGTTATAGTGTTAGGGGAGGGGTCACGCTAAGTATGGCTCTAGTTTTATAGCGTTATAGTGTTAGGGGAGGGGTCACGCTAAGTATGGCTCTAGTTTTATAGCGTTATAGTGTTAGGGGAGGGGTCACGCTAAGTATGGCTCTAGTTTTATAGCATTATAATGTTAGGGGAGGGGTCACGCTAAGTATGGCTCTAGTGTTTATAATGTTATAGTGTTAGGGGAGGGGTCACGCTAAGTATGGCTCTAGTTTTATAGCGTTATAGTGTTAGGGGAGGGGTCACGCTAAGTATGGCTCTAGTTTTATAGCGTGATAGTGCTAGGGGAGGGGTCACGCTAAGTATGGCTCTAGTTTTATAGCGTTATAGTGTTAGGGGAGGGGTCACGCTAAGTATGGCTCTAGTTTTATAGCGTTATAGTGTTAGGGGAGGGGTCACGCTAAGTATGGCTCTAGTTTTATAGCGTTATACTGTTAGGGGAGGGGTCACGCTAAGTATGGCTCTAGTTTTATAGCGTTATAGTGTTAGGGGAGGGGTCACGCTAAGTATGGCTCTAATTTATATAGCGTTATAGTGTTAGGGGAGGGGTCACGCTAAGTATGGCTCTAGTTTTTATAACGTTATAGTGTTAGGGGAGGGGTCACGCTAAGTAGGGCTCTTGTTCTGATAGCCTTATAGTGTTAAGGGAGGGGTCACGCTAAGTATGGCTCTAGTGTTTATAATGTTATAGTGTTAGGGGAGGGGTCACGCTAAGTATGGCTCTAGTTTTATAGCATTATAATGTTAGGGGAGGGGTCACGTTAGGTATGGCTCTAGTGTTTATAATGTTATAGTGTTAGGGGAGGGGTCACGCTAAGTATGGCTCTAGTTTTATAGCGTTATAGTGTTAGGGGAGGGGTCACGTTAAGTATGGCTCTAGTTTATGTAGCGTTATAGTGTTAGGGGAGGGTTCACGCTAAGTATGGCTCTAATTTTATAGCATTATAGTGTTAGGAGAGGGGTCATGTTAAGTATGGCTCTAGTTTTTTATAGCGTTATAGTGTTAGGGGAGGGGTCACGCTAAGTATGGCTCTAGGTTTACAGCATTATAGTGTTAGAGGAGGGGTCAGGCTAAGTATGGCTCTAGTTTTTATAAAGTGATAGTGTTAGGGGAGGGGTCACGCTAAGTATGGCTCTAGTTTTATAGCATTATAATGTTAGGGGAGGGGTCACGCTAAGTATGGCTCTAGTGTTTATAATGTTATAGTGTTAGGGGAGGGGTCACTCTAAGTATGGCTCTAGTTTTTATGGCGTTATAGTGTTAGGGGAGGGGTCACGCTAAGTATGGCTCTAGTTTTTATGAAGTGATAGTGTTAGGGGAGGGGTCACGCTAAGTATGGCTCTAGTTTTATAGCATTATAATGTTAGGGGAGGGGTCACGCTAAGTATGGCTCTAATTTTATAGTGTGATAGTGCTAGGGGAGGGGTCACGCTAAGTATGGCTCTAGTTTTATAGCGTTATAGTGTTAGGGGAGGGGTCACGCTAAGTATGGCTCTAGTTTTATAGCGTTATACTGTTAGGGGAGGGGTCACGCTAAGCATGGCTCTAATTTATATAGCGTTATAGTGTTAGGGGAGGGGTCACGCTAAGTATGGCTCTAGTTTTTATAGCGTTATAGTGTTAGGGGAGGGGTCACGCTAAGTAGGGCTCTTGTTCTGATAGCCTTATAGTGTTAAGGGAGGGGTCACGCTAAGTATGGCTCTAGTTTTATAGCATTATAGTGTTAGGGGAGGGGTCACGCTAAGTATGGCTCTAGTTTTATAGCATTATAATGTTAGGGGAGGGGTCACGTTAGGTATGGCTCTAGTGTTTATAATGTTATAGTGTTAGGGGAGGGGTCACGCTAAGTATGGCTCTTGTTTTTATAGCGTTATAGTGTTAGGGGAGGGGTCACGTTAAGTATGGCTCTAGTTTATGTAGCGTTATAGTGTTAGGGGAGGGGTCACGCTAAGTATGGCTCTTGTTTTTATAGCGTTATAGTGTTAGCGGAGGGGTCACGCTAAGTATGGCTCTAATTTTATAGCGTTATAGTGTTAGGGGAGGGGTCACGTTAAGTATGGCTCTAGTTTTTTATAGCGTTATAGTGTTAGGGGAGGGGTCACGCTAAGTATGGCTCTAGTTTTTATAAAGTGATAGTGTTAGGGGAGGGGTCACGCTAAGTATGGCTCTAGTTTTATAGCGTTATAGTGTTAGGAGAGGGGTCAGGCTAAGTATGGCTCTAGTTTTTATAAAGTGATAGTGTTAGGGGAGGGGTCACGCTAAGTATGGCTCTAGTTTTTATAAAGTGACAGTGTTAGGGGAGGGGTCACGCTAAGTATGGCTCTAGTTTTTATAGACTTATAGTGTTAGGGGAGGGGTCATGCTAAGTATGGCTCTAATTTTATAGCCTTATAGTGTTAGAGGAGGGGTCACGCTAAGTATGGCTCTAGTGTTTATAGCGTTATAGTGTTAGAGGAGGGGTCACGCTAAGTATGGCTCTAATTTTATAGCGTTATAGTGTTAGGGGAGGGGTCACGCTAAGTATGGCTCTAGTGTTTATAGCGTTATAGTGTTAGAGGAGGGGTCACGCTAAGTATGGCTCTAATTTTATAGCGTTATAGTGTTAGAGGAGGGGTCACGCTAAGTATGGCTCTAATTTTATAGCGTTATAGTGTTAGGGGAGGGGTCACGCTAAGTATGGCTCTAGTTTTTATAGCGTTATAGTGTTAGGGGAGGGGTCACGGTAAGTGTGGTTCTTGTTCTTATGACCTTATAGTGTTAGGGGAGGGGTCACGCTAAGTATGGCTCTAGTTTTATAGCGTTATAGTGTTAGGGGAGGGGTCACGCTAAGTATGGCTCTAGTTTTATAGCGTTATAGTGTTAGGGGAGGGGTCACGCTAAGTATGGCTCTAGTTTTATAGTGTGATAGTGCTAGGGGAGGGGTCACGCTAAGTATGGCTCTAGTTTTATAGCGTTATACTGTTAGGGGAGGGGTCACGCTAAGTATGGCTCTAGTTTTATAGCGTTATAGTGTTAGGGGAGGGGTCACGCTAAGTATGGCTCTAGTTTTATAGCGTTATACTGTTAGGGGAGGGGTCACGCTAAGTATGGCTCTAGTTTTATAGCGTTATACTGTTAGGTGAGGGGTCACGCTAAGTATGGCTCTAATTTATATAGCGTTATAGTGTTAGGGGAGGGGTCATGCTAAGTATGGCTCTAGTTTTTATAGCGTTATAGTGTTAGGGGAGGGGTCACGCTAAGTAGGGCTCTTGTTCTGATAGCCTTATAGTGTTAGGGAGGGGTCACGCTAAGTATGGCTCTAGTTTTATAGCATTATAGTGTTAGGGGAGGGGTCACGCTAAGTATGGCTCTAGTTTTATAGCATTATAATGTTAGGGGAGGGGTCACGTTAGGTATGGCTCTAGTGTTTATAATGTTATAGTGTTAGGGGAGGGATCATGCTAAATATGGCTCTTGTTCATATAGCCTTATAGTGTTAGGGGAGGGGTCACGCTAAGTATGGCTCTTGTTTTTATGGCATTATAGTGTTAGGGGAGGGGTCACGCTAAGTATGGCTCTAGTTTTTTATAGCGTTATAGTGTTAGGGGAGGGGTCACGCTAAGTGAGGCTAAGTCTAGTTTTTATAGCGTTATAGTGTTAGGGGAGGGGTCACGCTAAGTAGGGCTCTTTTCTTATAGCGTTATAGCGTTAGGGGAGGGTCACGCTAATTATGGCTCTAGTTTTACAGCATTATAGTGTTAGGGGAGGGTTCACGGTAAGTGTGGTTCTTGTTCTTATAACCTTATAGTGTTAAGGGAGGGGTCACTCTAAGTATGGCTCTAGTTTATGTAGCGTTATAGTGTTAGTGGAGGGGTCACGCTAAGTATGGCTCTAGTTTTTATAGCGTTATAGTGTTAGAGGAGGGGTCACGCTAAGTATGGCTCTAATTTTATAGCGTTATAGTGTTAGGGGAGGGGTCACGCTAAGTATGGCTCTAGTGTTTATAGCGTTATAGTGTTAGAGGAGGGGTCACGCTAAGTATGGCTCTAGTGTTTATAGCGTTATAGTGTTAGGGGAGGGGTCACGCTAAGTATGGCTCTAATTTTATAGCGTTATAGTGTTAGGGGAGGGGTCACGCTAAGTATGGCTCTAATTTTATAGCGTTATAGTGTTAGGGGAGGGGTCACGCTAAGTATGGCTCTAATTTTATAGCGTTATAGTGTTAGGGGAGGGGTCACGCTAAATATGGCTCTTGTT